GACCGACGCGTTGTGGCTGCCTCTGCTCCTCACGGGGTCGCCAGGCATTGGCAAGTCGGTGCTCCTCGCTCTCTTTTGCGTCTACCTTGGCGTGTACCACGACGACTTCAACATTCTTTTCACGCGCCGCGTGAAGAACGTCAACTCCAACGTCTCGGATGGTGCCACACTAGACGCCGTCTTTTGGTTTCGCGGTGCTCATGTGACCAAGTTCCCCAACTTCAAACGAAAAGACTATTGCAACCTCATCGAGGCGATCGCGGCGGAGACCCGAGCTCAAGGAAAAACGCTCCTCGTCGTCGGCGACGGCTATCTCGGGTCGAACTTTCAGAGCCAGGATGACTTCACCAGTGCCGTGACCTCGAGTAACATTCTCTCGACGTCGGCGCAGTACCGCATCAAGGACGACGACAAGCGCGTACCACTGGTTCTTCCCGCGTGGTCCAAGGACGCACTTCGCGACGCGTGTAGCATCTACAAGGAGGTCGTGAGCACGTTTGAGGAGCGCTACGTGCTTGCTGGCGGCTGCTTGCGCTCGTTCCTTGTGTCGCCCAGAAGCCAGTGGTTGAGCAGATGTCCGAGTGCGCTCACTGACGAAGACGAGATTCGACGCACGTACATTCAAGACATTGACCAGTACAAGTGCTACCTCGACCGAGGCCAACGCGTGTTGGACGCCGGCGTCGTCCAGCGGCACTGGATCGCCAAGGAGCGTATCGATGCCGTTGCTGACGCGCTCCGATGGGTCGAGACGACGACGTACACGGCGCTCTACAAGTCGCTCTACGAAGCGATGATCCACAAGCTCGCGTTTGACGGCGTTTTGCAGCTCGTGCTCTCGGGCGAAGCGATGCCTCTGGTTGTCACTGCACGGTTCAATCCCGCACGGTACGATGCGTCCAAGGCAAACTACATCAGCTATCTCGGGACGAGATGGATCGACAAGTCGTACTGGGCGCCCAACTATTACGTGCTGTTGCCAGGTGTCGATGCGCTTTGCGTGCAAGACAAGTGCGTCTACTACCTGCGAATGGCGGTCACGCCGGTGCGCCAACTGCCCTGGGACGC